TGATAAACCCAAAATTAAAAATTTGCATTTTCTAGCCCTGATTTATCTCACTAATCTTCAAGTTATATTGGATTGATTCTGGATATATCATTTAGATAATCCACCATCATCCTATGTGTCCAAAAGCTGCTGTTATTTAGGGGCCCCCTTTCTTACACAATAACAACAAAACAGTCTCCCTTCTGAATTGCCCATTTTGGTTCACTGAACCATAATTCTCCAAAATAAAAGAACTTCAGAATATCTTACATAGAAAAAGACCTCAAACCTCTAATAGCACTACCTCTGTGCTTTCCAGATAAAAGAATACGTAAGTTGCTCTGTGCTGTGTTTAAGACTTGAATCCATGGCTTTTAAGTTAAACAAACAACAACAAAACCTGAGACTCAGAGTCAGATGACTAGAATTATAAATCTTTTTCTAATATCCTATGCTTAAGCTCTTCATCTGAATGATGTACATGATAGTGACAATCTTACAGGATTTAATTAAATGAGGTAACGTATGTGAGGACTTTTAGCACAGCTCAGAGGATTTAGTAGATGTCTCAGCAGATGTCTATTGAATAAATTCACTCCTAAAATCAATTGACCTTTTCTAGTATTTCTTTTCTTTAATAAGATCCAGTTCTTTATTTTTTTAATAATTATTTATTTTCATATGGTGCTAAGGATCGATCCCAGTGCCTCACACATGCTATGGAAGCGCTCTGCCATTGATCTACAGACCCAGCCCCTTTTCTAATATTTCTAATAACATCTAATAGCATTTTCAGTGTGAACACTCTGTCCTCATTGGCTGGGTACCTGAGCACCCTTGGGTCAGCCATGAAGTCGTGTTATACCATCCACTTCTTCCAGAATGCCTACTCTGGCCAATTTAGATAGACTTTTTTCTTAAAGTGAAAGGCATGAATCATACCCTATCTTGCATCATTGTTCTTAATTGTTTCATTCATAAATATGGAAATTCTACTCCTCTGAACAAATTATAACTCTTTGAGCAGTTTTTAGGAAGTCTACTCAGGGCCAGAGGTGCAGTTCAGTGATAGAGTGCTTGTCTATCATGCATGGTACCCTATCATTGCTGGTTCAATCCCCAGCAATCCTCCCAAAAAAGTAAGAAAAAAAAGCATATTCAGTAGCCCCTCCACAGTATATTGTTGTGAACTCAAAAATGTAAATAATAATGAAAAATCTTAATTTTCATAAAAACAAACTATAGAGAACTCTTCCTATAGAGCAGATTCATATGCATAATCATTTTTCCTGAAGCAACATCCTAACTATGGTAGAAATTTGTAGGCAAAGATGATTAGAAATTGAGAAATATTTTATATGCCATAAAATGCATTCATTTTGTAAAAAAATCTAGCATATCTATCTACCACATGTGGCAGATTAAAGGAAAATGTCACTTAAAATATATCAGTCATTCCTTAATTAAAAAAAATCACAACCACATTGTAATATATCTTCTCCAATTGAAGTATCCTGATGGAATTTGTGGATAGTGAGTGGGGAATTTGCTGGTTCAAGATTAAAGGAAAGGGCTGGGGATGTGGCTCAAGCGGTAGCGTGCTCGCCTGACATGCGTGCGGCCCAGGTTCGGTCCTCAGCACCATATACAAACAAAGATGTTGTGTCTGCCAAAAACTAAAAAATAAGTATTAAAAAAATTCTCTCTCAAAAAAAAAAAAAACCAAAGGTGAATATGAGGAATTGGTTTTTCTTCCCATCTTCCTGTTTAAAATTGATAGTTAGTTTTATATTTTCTATTACCTTTTTTTCTTGGATTGGCTAATAGCTAGCTTTATATTTATAAGAGAGGTACAGTATTAGCCACATTCTACCTGTTTGGAGGTGCCAGGATATAAAAGACAAAATGTACTCATGGCTTCCTTTGAACAACATTCTGTTTCCTGCTCTTGGAATCTTGGTTATTATGTCAAATAACTGGACAATTTGGTGGGCATGGCTCATGAAAAATAAAACAATAAGTCAAACAGATCACATTTCTGAGTCCATGGGCTGATTCCAACAGAATGGCAACTTGACACGTTATATTAAGAGTGACTAAGAGCTATACATCATCTATCACAGTGAAGTACCCTTTCCCATTGAATTGCACATCCCATATTCATAGTTTGCATCTTGTACCTCATTGTTCCTGACTTGATTTCACATCTCATATTGCATTTTGCAAAGTTTCTAGGAAAAAGAATAAGTATTCATGTAGTAGGTGCTTGTAGCAGTTGGAACATTTTCTTACTATGGCATCTCTGCTCTACTAAGTTTTGCAGCAGTGATAGTTGAGTATTATTACAGACGTGGTAGTCTTCTAATGTAAGATATATTCAAGGTCTTAACAAGTAAGGAGTCTGGATAACTAGATTATATGTCCTATGGCCAATCCAATAAAAGCTACTTAGAAATTTATATTTTACCCATAGTTGGAAAAAAATATAAAAATGATTTCTCACTTTAACACTAACATACTGAAAATTCTATTCACTGGGTTCTAGTATTTTCATTCTTGTAATTCCCAAACCTATTAAGAAAGCAGTTATGCCAGTTTCTTTCTTTGAAACAATTCCAACTTTGTATTGTAGATCTTTCTGCAGATATGTAGAGATTTATTTTCAGTGGTACACAAAACAGAAGATGGAACCATTTCTTTTAGAAAGTACCTATTTTGAAACTGAATTTCTCTTCTTTGGTATGATCACATTAAGTTCAAGTTTAATTTTTTATGAAAAATAAAGTGTTTGATAAAATGCCACAACTCAATAAATATTAGCTGAATGGAGATATTAATTGAAGTTAAATAAAACTAGTTTTAAATATAGTCTTTCTCCAGAGGGTGAGTTTGATTATGCTGTTACAGTTTTCAAAATTGTTTTATTCTTCCTGAGGCTACCATATTCATTCTGTTCAAACCAAAGTCTCCAAATAAAAAACACTAGTTTTTCTTCCTCTTAAAAATAAACAAGGGCTGGGGATGTGGCTCAAGCGGTAGTGTGCTCGCCTGGCATGCACGGGGTGCTGGGTTCGATCTTCAGCACCACATAAAAATAAAATAAAGATGTTTTGTCCACCGAAAACTAAAAAATAAATATTACAAAATTCTCTCTCTTTAAAAAAAAATTACAAATTTGATTAACTGCACGGCATACATTTTATTTATGTGATTTAACTGCATTTTTTCTAGGTTATAAATTGTGCAATAAAAAAAACTCATAGACTAGAACTCAAATGAGAGCTGTGAAAAATTCAGACATTCTGTTTGCCTTGACAGTTATCTTATAGTCAGTAAAGTTTTTTTTTGTTCTTTTTTTTTTTTTGGTATAACTCTTTTTCCCTCTTGTTTGGTCACCTACATACTCCATTCCTCAACCATAGAAGCAAATAATGTCTAAAATTGGTGCTGGTTTTGATAAGTCAGGGTGATGACATCAGCCTGAGTTCTAGCTGCTGGAATGCAGAAGTGTACCATAGAGTGACTCATGGGAAGTTAAATCCCAACATAACTCTTCTTGTCACTATGTCACCATTTGAAGCCAAGGCTTGTGTTCAAATGTCCCACACCACTTACACACAGGAATTCTCCAATGTCTGCTTTGTCAATGTGGGAGAGAGTAGAAGGAAGAACTGCTTTTCTATTTTAAAAGACAAGAAGCTTAAAATTATATATGATGCACAACATCAATGTCTTTAATATTAGCCAACTCTACACTTAAAAACAGTTAGAATAGTAAATTTTACATTATGCATTAAAATACCATTTTACCATAGTTTAAAAAAAAACTATGAGATAGATCTGAAATCCACATCCATATGACTTAGAGGTTTTTCTAAGTTGTATATAAATTTACAGGTCCATTATATAATCAGTTATAACTCTGTGATCATACTCAGATTGCTCTTTCTTCAACATCTGCTTGAATCCTAAGCATCCATTCTTCAGCCATTAGTAAACAGCACTCACTCGGTTGAAGTTTTAGCTAAATGTGTTGCAGAATTTTTTTTTTTTTTTTTTTAAAGCCTCAACAACATGGTGTAAGAGTGGGAGGCAGGGAGCATGGGGAAGCATTGCTTGCTCCTAAGTAGTTGGAAGATTCGCTGATGTGAGGAGCTGGGGAGTGGAGAAAACTTTATCTCCTATTCCCAGGATTCCTCCTGTCCCAGTGCTTGTTAGAAGAACTAGCAAACGCTAGCCAGGGGAAGTTATTGGGCTGCTGGGTCCCAAGAATGACTGGCTCAAGCTCTTCCTAGAGGGCAAATTGCTGCATTAAGATGCGTCCCTTAGGGGCTGGCGTTGTGAATCAGTGGTAGAGTGCTTACCTAACATGTGTGAGGCACTGGGTTTGACTCTCAGCACCACATATAAAGAAATGAAATAAAGGTCCACCAACAACTAAAAAAAAATCTTTTTTAAAGAGAGGTCAGGAATTAAAAAAAAAAAAAAAAAAAAGATGTATCCTTTACTCTCCTTCCTCCAGTCAGAATCAATCTAAAAGTAAAGTCAGCATAGGCTGTGCAGCGAGGGTGTGCAGCAGCTCAGAAGCTGCAAGAGGGCGGTGCCTGTCTGGGGTGGCAAGTAGGGTACTTTTGCAGGCTGAAAATCACTGTAAGTACAAGAGGTATTAGAAATAGAAAGCACACAATATCGGGCTACGGTTTTCATTACCATTGTCCTAATGCACAAACTTCTACCTGTGTACATGCACTGAAATGATACCTGAGTATCCACTACACTCTCCGGATTAGAAGGTAAGCAGTGATCTGCCACTGTGCCTAACCAGTGCCTAAGGAGATGCCTGGCGCTAGGAAGGCGCTCAACAAGTGAGAAGCTCAACTGTGAAGTAGAAACCAGGATAGCTCAGGAGAAGAGGCATTCTCAATGCTCTGGGGTTACAAACACAACCTACAGGTGCTGTCACTTTTAGAAGTCTCCATTTCCAGCCCGACCTGATCGTCCCACACCCTGGAACTACCTACCAAAAGCGGCGACCAGCAGACTGACAGCACGCACATGATCCCCATAAGTTGGATGGCCGTCTCAGTTGTGATGCGGCCCCACTGGGCACTGGACTGCGATGCCGCGGCTTTGGCCCGGCAACGGGACACCAGGGCCTTAATGGTGGCCAGGTTACAGGCGAAGGTGACCGCCAGAGCTAAGAGCCCCAGGAAGGCGAACGTGGAGGCGAAGAAAACGTTGCCCCAGTTGTTCGAAGAGTTAGTCCCGTTGCCCCCTCGCCCGGTGCTGATGAAACACCACGTCCCGGGCCACTGGACAGTGTACTGGCCTACACCCAACACAGGCAACAGGGCAAAGGCCAGCACTGACAACCACACACAGAACAGCACCGCACGGGTAGCGCGTGTCTTCATGTGGCTCGCATACCAGTGTGGCGCCCGAATGGCCAGTGCCCGCTCGACGGCCATGGCGCTGGCAATGAAGAGCGAGGAGAGCCCAAAAACAGTCATAGTCAGACCGAAGAAGGTACACAGCCGCCCCGACGGGTCATGCTGCTCCCAACGCTGCTTGGAGAGGTACACGACAATGACCACCGGGCTGGTTAGCAGCTGCCCGACCAGGTCGGTGAGCGCTAGCCAGCCGATGCACAACAGGAAGGACTTCTTGCGTTTGCTCTCCCGGCGCCGGTAGGTGCGAGACACAAGCAGCATGGCTAGCGCGTTGCCCACGAAGCCGGTAATCAGCATGGTAATTGGGAAGGCCACGGACACTGATCCGCAGTCCTCGCTGGACCCTGGGGGCCGGGTGAGGTTGCCCCGCGCCTCCGCGGAGCGCTCGTGCGCCCACATGCCGGGGTAGGAATTGTTGAGGCGGGTGCAGAAGGGGGCGCCCCCGCCGTCGCCCCGGGGTTCCTTCATGTTGGCTTTGAGGTGAGGAGTGGATGGCGCCCGGAAAGCAGCAGAGAGAGCTGGCAGAGGGGTCTCGGGCAGTGACCAAGGCCAGTGGCGACCCAGAGTGGGACTGGACTGCCCTCCATGGTGCGGGGCGCAGCCTCCGCCTAGCTTCGCTACTCCCGCCGCTGCAGTAGCGCCGCCGGATCTTTCAGGCTAGGAAAGCGCGTGTTACGCTCGGGAAAGCCTCAGGCTCCCAGGCGAGGCCGGGTGCCCAGCCCCTCTATTAAGTCCGAGGGGGCGGGGCGCCGTGGGTGTGGGCTGAAACAAGGTGGGAGGAGGGCGTAGAGGCAACTAAGCGCTTCTCTTTGCAGTCGGCTGGCTTTTCCGGCCCGCTGCGCTGGGAAAACTTCCAGGCGGACTTCTCTCCTGACCTCCCTGCTCCTGGCAGGACCACTTGCCGTTTTGCCGGCCACAGCCCCTCCTCCAGTTCTCCCGCCGGGGAGTGTCCGAGGGTGGAGAGCTGTTTAAACGTCTCACTGGGCTTCTCATGAGAGCCGCTGAAAACCGACCTGAGCACCTGTCGTCCTTCTCTAGGCACAGACGCTCAAACTGGGACCTTCTCCCGAAGCACTTTTGTAAACCCTCCAAGTGTAAATCACTTATCCTTAAGCAATCTACGCAACCACAATCCTTCATATAGCTTTGCTTGGATAAAGTTTTCTTACTCGGGAGCCTAGAATGGTCATGAAAAGGCCATGCTGTCCTGCTCCTGGGGCGCCACTTAAACTGCAAAGTTAATACAATGTCTGGAGAGTCAAGGGACTAGACACCGGGAAACAATCAATCAATCAATCCCATTTAAAGACGAAGAAATCCCAACTACTATTCTGTCCCTTCTCCCCCTTCCCTAAAAGGAAGTCAGCTAAGGCAAAAGTTGCTAGAAGCAAATGATGGCCACTTACATATCTGAAAGAGTGAAATCAACTCCGCCAGCTGGAGGAAGCAGGAGGTGGGCAAGGAAGCAGCATTTCCTTACAAAGCGTTCAGCAATCCTCCTCCACCCCTTTCTATTTCTCTAATAGCACTAGAAACTGCATTTAGCTGATAAATGCCTTAATCCACATAGAAACTTTTCCTGTGAAAATAGGATAATTGACTAGTAACATTTTCGTAGGCCAGTATTAATTTTTTTTCACAATGTTTCAAAACCACTTTTAGATCTTCCAAAGCACTATTGCTACTATTATTACTCTTCTTTTTAGGTGAGGTAACTGAAGCTCCATGAAGTTATTAAAAGGATGTGCCCAAAATTACTCAGCTATTTCCGGTCCATTCTCCTGAGAGCAGTGTCTTTACTGATACCATAACTGCTCTCAGCAGTTGAAAACTAATGGAAACCAGTTTTTCACAAATCTCTGGAGGTGTGGCTTCTCCACCTCTTCACATTGTGCAGAAAATAAAAAGATTTTTTTAAAAAATATTTACAAATTTCAGTTTTCCTCATACTTAAAAAAATAATACTTAATCATATTCAGAGTGAATCAAATTTTTTTTCAGAACCCAGTCAATTTCAAAGCGAGGTCAAATTTTTTTGGCCCTAGTTTAGGTGATGTTCTATTGGGTGCAAGTGCGTACAGAATTGAAAAATATGTCTTTCTTTCTGATGTTTTGATTCTGTAAGTGCTTGGGAAAAAAATCATTATAGTGTTGTATGACGTTTAAGGAAAAAAAAAAAAGCCAGAATGTAATCTAAAGTACATTTGATCTACCTGCATTAATCACAATACTAATTTTGTTTTTCTATCATCTTAAAAGTTCCTGCATTGGGCTGGGAATGTGGCTCAAGCGGTTCCTGCACTTTTAATAAAATGTCATGCTTATAATGAAAACTACTAGGAAGGAACAGTAATTTTTCAGCAATAAAATTCTAGTGTAATGTTATAATTAAGAAATATTATTAATTACATAGCAAAGAAAGTAAGCCTAATGTCATTACATTGTTACTTTTTTAAATTTATGAATAATTATTTAAAATGATTTTCTTCTATTACACTGTGTGCAGTAATAAGTTGGACTTCTTAAGAATGACAAGCATCAGGTGATATATTAACAAATATTAAAATTAGCCTTTTTAGTCACCTTGACATCAATACATTAAATGTGTTGTTTCATTTTGTGTAACATCTCTTTAATTCACCATTTTGTTTCATCACAGTCTGTTACGTGATTTGCTGCTATTCACCCTGTAAACTAGTAACTTTGAGGAGTCATACAAAGGAAACTGTAGTTGAATTCTTGTTGGCACTTTTAGCTCAAGTTATTACAGAAATAATTTGCAGGCCTTGGTCTGAAACAACATCACCCCCTAGTGATCTAAAAGTTAATAACAAGCAGTATGCTATCTTCACAATTTCTGGCTAACTACTGCATGCTTTCTTAGGAAACCTGATTTCTTTCCTAGATATCTATTTATTACGTAACTGTAGTTGCTTTGTTTTCCATTAAGATCACAAATTTGCACCTTTGATAAATCAATAAACTTGTGGAGGATTAAATAAAGACCATGTATTCAAATGTTTTAAAAAAAAAACTCACATTTTAAATTCTGCCCTAGAAATATTTTAATAGACAAATTGTACCCCTGTATCTTATAGTTTTTATGTATTTATATCAATATTTAGATAGTGATGTTCACTTCTGCTGAACTTCAAATCTTAAATAGGGATACAAATAAAAAATAATGGGACTGGGGGTGTAGCTTTGTGGTAGTGCTTGCTTAGCATAAGTATATCCTGTTTTGATCTCCAATACCCAAACAAACCCCACAAGATAAATAATTAGTTCCACGTAAACAGGTCCTTCATTACTTCATTATGATGGGAAGTATTTGAAATTGTTTCCATAAAGTCAACTGTTTAAATATATTTTTCTCATTCATTCTAGGAACACTCATTGAGCAACTAGTCTGTCAGACCTAGTCTGTTATTAGGGATACAAGAAATCACATAAAAAAAGTCTCTACATCAACAGTTTAGTGTGAATCTCTTCATTTCTACACAAAGAACACTGGTATCAGTCTTGTTTTCTCAGAATTATCTGCCACGGAGGCAAGATCTTATATGAATCTCTTCACATGAAATAATTATGTAAGGTTTTCATGATTGAGTGAAATTTATCTCAGAAATGCAAAGTAGATCTAACTTTCAATCATCAGCCAACACAATTACCACCTCACTTAAGAATCCTGTACTATAATTGCCTTATTTACATGTCCAATAATTTCTTACTAGAAACTGAGCACCATAGTTACTACATTGTAGTGTGATGCTACATTCCATTGTTCTGAGGATTACTGCTCTACTAGACAGTTTGTCTGGATTCAAATTGCCAATACTTTGCAGCTAGCTATTGGTATCTCTGTTGTTTTCCACGACTGCTTTTAGCCTGGTTCCCAGTGGATGGATATTCCCTATTCCTCTAATGACTCATTAGTCAGTGATGAGCACCATCTTGTGGTTTCCTTGATTCTAGGGATCCTCTTTTCAGATTCATCCGCTGGATTACTGTTATATCCTACATTTTAAGCTTGAAAACTTTCTGCTTTTCTAGCTGAAGGCACTCACAGTGGAAACGTCCTCCTTAGGAAGAATTCTATTGTTGTGCGTACAAACAGTCTTTAAAAGCAAAACTATAATCATATACTTTCACAGGTATGTAGTCTTCCTTTGGCTTTATGGGTCTCTTCATAGTTTTAACTGCTAGACATGGTTCTGGGCAGTTCTACCTTATTTCTTTGGAGGTTCTCATTGCCAGGATCTTCTACTTACATTTGCAGTGGCTTTTCAACTCTTAAATCTCTGGCCCCCTTTGCCAGGAGGCTCTGATCTTTTTCCAAAAGTAGGGCAGCACCCTGTTAAAACCTCCTTTCAGAAGCAGGGCTTTATTTGCTTTGATTAATTCCCTTTGGGGCTGAGGTTGTGGCTCAGCGGTAGAGCTCTTGCCTAGCACGTATAAGGCCCTGGGTTTGATCCTCAGCACAACATAAAATTGGATAAATTAAAATAAAGGTATTCTGTCCATCCACAACTAAAAAATCCCCTTTGAATCCTTTTCAGTTATTTACTAGAATTAAAAAAAAAAAAAATTATAGTTTGTTAACTGCAAGGCAATGTGATATGGGCATAGACACTGCCAGGATTTCAATGTCGCTTCAAAATTCTGCTGTTTAAATATAATGGCTAATGTGCAAGGTATGATGATGCATGTTTGTAACCCTAGTTACTCAGAAAAACTGAGGCAGAAGGATTAAAGATTTGAGGGGGAAGAAAAAAGCTGGGGATTGTAGCACAATGATAGTGAACATGGGTTAAATCACAGGCCAGAAACAGATAATATAATGGCTAATATGATGGCATATGAGTGTTGAAGCCATGAGGGGCTTTCTCTCCAAGTGGAATTAGTTCCCCTTATTTGCTGCCTGCCCCCCCCCCCCCCCCCTTTTTATATATAAAAAAAATAGCCTTTCTGCCTTCCACTATGTGAAGATGCAGTAAGGCCTTCTACTAAGCATCAGATGCTAGGACCCAGATCTTGGACTTATTCTTTATGTATTACCCAGCCTAAGTTAACTGTTGCAGCTGCACAAAACGGACTAAACCAAACAGATCAGGGAATGTCTTAAATAATAAAAGTATTTTATATATATTCATAATGTAGATAAATATATATGTACACATATATCACTTAAATTCAATTGATTTTTTTGTGAAAGACATTATAAAAATGTCTTGAAAAAAATTAGGTCATCTGTAAGGAAACATAAATGAACATAAACCTTACTATACACTAAATGGATCACAGATATTATGCATGCACCCCTGATGTAGGCTATTGAAAAGGGACTTCACTTTTGCAACAGTCTTTTGAAAAGCTAACAATCCTAGTCTAATCACAAAAATGACAAACTCAGAATGAGGAGTCACTCTATAGGATACACAAGACCAAGGTCTTTATGAAAAAAAGAATGAGAAACTTGTGAGATCAGAATAAAAAAGACACTGCATCCAAATTCAGTGTGGTACTCTTAAATGGGTCATGAAATTTAAAAAATAGTGAAATTCAAATAAAATCAACAATTATTAATGTGCAAATACTGGTTTCTTAGCTTTACAAATATACTATGTAATTTATTAACAACAAAAAAACTGGATGAGGGTATAGGGGAACCCAATTAATCTTTGCAACTTTTTAGTTAACCTAAAATCATAAAAAACACCTTTTGACGTATAATATTCATACAACATGCAAAAATGTTATCTGTACAGCTTAGTGACATTTTTACATAGGTAGATACAATTGTAGCCACATTTGATAAATGCAGTTCTACCAACTGTTGTTGATAATTGTTCTACCCAGTGTATAAACATCACTGACCCAACTATTACAATAGCCATGTCTGTTCTTGAACTTCATGCAAATGTAATAGCAATGTGTGACCCCAGTATGACCCATTTTCAGGATGCTGTATACCTGAAAACATGTATTAGAGTTCTACATAAGTGAACCAGGTCAAGTTGACTGCTAATTTTCTATATGCATATTTTGAACTTAACTGCACACAAATCTGATAATTGTGGGCTTTTTACATTTGCTTCACATATTTTGAAATAAATGCACAAATTACTTTCTTGGTCAAGTAATTATCACCATGTAGAAGAAAAATCCTTTTCTTTGGCTCTCAAATCTACTTTCCTGAAATCTCTTACTTCTGCATATTTTCCTTTTTTTCAGAGTGATATCCACCTTTAGTTGTGGTGTTTCATCAAATACCTTTAACATAATCATTGATAAACCCACCCTATTTGTTTTTGTCCTATTTTCTTTTATTACTATTCAAATGACCCATCCTTTATAGCCCTTTCAACTTTACCATCTACTTTCATGATGTATAACACTCTAATGTACAACCACATTCAAATACTGCACTTCCATTTCTTGCCTCTTGAACTATGTACTGTTGTGTATTTTCCCTTGTACATATAACTTCAATAAAATACAAACAATTTCCTCTTAAAGATAATTATGTAATAGATAAACCCAGTTAGCACTTTCTATGCTTTGTGTGGACAGGTTTCCATCTATTGTTAACAAACATCCTTTCTCTTATTGGCTTGTAAATTCTAGATTCTTAAACAGCTGGTTTGGATTTCATCTTTATTATCTAAATACATTTTGACCAGAGAATAAGCCAATTTTTCAGTACAAGATGTACTGTCTTTGGGCTTGCACTGCTTCACATTTCTTACCATTATCGCCTTTTCTCTTTTAGCAATTATGATCTGAAACTGAATCTTCATGTTTCCTATGGTTGGAGCTCTTACCAGTTTCTTGCATTTGAGGTAGTTTCCCCTGATATTACTTAAGAATTAAGACTTAAAAATACCCAGATACCTGTGAAACCCCTCTCTGGGACTCTAACTATAAACATGAGTGTCCTGAAGCCTCCTGTGTCCTCTCTCACCTCTCTGAGAATATAAAGGGGTAACTGCACAATGTCCTTACTCTGAGTAAGATGGAAACTTAAACTAGTGTTGTTCAGGTATCATTGTTAATCACAGCCCGTTGGCCAATATACTAAAAAAATACTGGTGTGCTTCAGTTGAAAAGATAAATCTTGGATTGAAGTGAAAGTCTTCTATTTCCATTTTTTTCTTCTCACCTTCTAATTCACCTTTTTTTTTTGGTATTCTAGAAATAAAAATTTGGTTGATTTAACTCAACTTCCCTAACTGTAGGCTTTCAAATCACATCCCCAAGCACTTCTTTAGTTGAAACCCACAAACTGATGACAAATTATTTCCATTCATTAAAAACAAAACATCCTCATGATCATTTTTTTGACCCATGGAGACTGAAGTTATTTCTATTAAAACAAAACAAAACAAAAACAGCACTTAAGTTGGGGGGGGGGGGGGGGGGATTCCCTACATTCTTACCATCATCTTCACTACTGGCTATGAATGCCATTGGAAGAAGATAATAAACATTAATTTATCTTTGTGCCTAGGGATAGTCTTGTATATTTAGAGCTTATCTGAATGTGAACACTTTCAGATAAATCACCATTCAATACTGTTTAGATGAAAGAATCCCAAAAAGAAATTTAAAACCCAGCATATAAAAATAAACAGCTGTTGAATGCTGTAAAGTGATAGTTTTAAGAGTAATTCAGGAAGCACACTATTAACATTTTGTTTTACCATAGGTAATAAAGATGTGTAATGTTCTGGCAGAAAGTATTCAACTAATTTGAGAGCTCTCTGAAAGTCACAAGTACATAAAGCTGTAACAATCTCTTTTAAACCAAGCACTCATATAAAAACATGAATATAAAGAGTTTAAAAACTGAAAAATTAAAAGAAACTTTTTTCCTAAAAACAAACATTAGATCATAGCTTAAAAATCTGAAATTTCTAACAAACACCACACTTGATGCTTGACTCACAGACTTTATTTACATTTGTCTACAGCATCATTTCCTTATGAAATGAACTAGTACAGCTCAGTTAAACCAAGAAATCATAATCATTTGAATTGTCTGTAAACTCCTATTAGCTAAATTTATAACCTTGCATTTGCTTAGTACAGCCAAAGTTTTAAATACAAGAGAGCACAAGAATAAACCAATGTAACATGTAGAATCTAGATCATCATCTGGGCAATTTAGAAGGTGGACTTCCAAAAAGTCTGAGGCACAATTACAAGAGAGTAAAATTCTTGTGCAACCTACAGTAAACGTAGCAAGGAAAATTAAGACATAAAAAACATGGGAAAGCTTGTAGTAAAAATATTATGAAAATATTTCTACATAAGGTATTTTGTTTTTAGATTGGTTGAAGAGAAAAACATTTAAAATAAACAAATGTAATTTTGTTTGGTCTGTCTACTAAATACCTTAAAATGTTTAAAATTTTATTTAAATTGCAGCAGACAATGTTAAGGAAAAAGAAAAAACAAAAACAGAAACAAAAACAAAAGCAGTATCCCATAACAAAAAGCCCCCAAGCACAATTTTTGATTTCCTTTAATACTTACCTTGCATTGTCACTGAAGACACTGTTAAGAGAAACCTTTTTTAAACCAGAAAACCAAATAGAGCTCAAGTGACCAGATTTTAATTCTGAGAAACAAAACGCTAAGAGCATTTTAAGCCATAAGTTATTTCAAGTGAATAGGAAAAAAAATAAAATTTTGCTTATATCATGCAGAAATAAGCACTCACTTGTTATCCAGAAGAAAATTTTATGTAATGTGCTTAAACATCAAGGCAAATATTTGAATTCACAATGTCTCTGTTGGTCTTTCATTGAAAGGGATATACAGTTCAAAAGCTTTCTTTAATTTGCTCATTAACTATGATTTAGCCTTTTCTACCCTATCATATTTGATACTAGATCTTTAAAGGATATCACACAAAGCCTCTTAAACTTTTGAGACAAACATTTTGAGATAAAAAAAAAAAAATCAGGCAACCATATTAGTAGAGAACAGATGAACTGGACTTTCTTGCCCCAATATGGTTCATAAAGGAAATGAACACCACCTTTCTCCTTCTTCAAATCACAAGATTCTTTTGCATAAATGTGGTGGTGCAAAACTGGTGTGAAGCTGCATAAAGAGAGACAATGATTCTAAGGCACCCTCAGCATAGCGAATTTCAAATAAAGAAGTTTCCAGTAGGCTGCTTTACAACTTAAACTTGTCCTGGTAAGAATTACTCTGATATAGGTTAATAACAACATTAAAAAGGTTGTTTCCAATGAGTTTACCACTCTTGCCTCTATGCCCAAGGTACAGGCAAGCCTACTTAATCCTGTCTTAGCCAACAGACAGAATATATTTAGAAATAAGTATTTAAATTAGGAAACAAAGGTACTTTGTTATGCTGAGATGGTTTTAAATGAAGCAAATGGTTGTAAATAATGAATAATAGACCATCTATTTTGGGACATTATGGCTTAAAATGCAATTTACTTTTAATTTCACAAATAAACACAGTTGTATTATTCTGAAAAGCAATAAAGGCATGCACCTCTACTAGCAGATTTAGCACTTCTGACCAAGTAAGACATCAACTTCTTAAAAAATATGCTTCATGCACTGTACTGGATATTTTTTTTAAGATGTAATTTTTAATACATTATTTCTTTTTTGAACTTGAACGGGAACCAGAATGGGACGATCCAGAAGATGACCTGTGGCGCCTGTAAGACATAATGGACAAAGCAGGTAATCTAGTAAACTAGATCTGTATTTTAGCATTCATTAAGATTGTAAAAGCAACAACAACAAAAAATTTAAACACCTTGATGCTAGAAAAAGGAATAATTAAAAACTAATATGTAAACTTACATACATAAGATAATCTGGTGTTTACAGACTTTGGATGTGAGCCTAGAAATGGTATAACCGTAATTTAAAACTCTATAATTGAGAAATATCTTCTTATTCCAAAATATAGCCACCTCTCAATTATTTAAGGTGATGAAGAGAAGCCTTGCAAAAATGCATATAAACAGATATTGTACAACAGACTTATAAACTTGCTAATGAAGTGTGACTACACCAATCTCTGTGATACACTATAGAAAGTGTAATAAGTCTATATGTAAAACCAATATAGCAAGGCTTCCAATTGTGTAGGAATAAATATATTCATAAATAATTAAATTTTGGAAATTGAGGTCACACAAGATGATTGTACAATTAGTTATAGTGTTATATTCATGCAGCTAATATGAATAAGTCAATATCAACCTGGGTAAAGTAGTGGTGTTCCGAAGGGGTTGGCCCTGGGCTCAGGGTTGTTTAGTGTTTTCACCAATCACCTGGCTTATGGAATAGAGAACATGTTCATTAAGTTTAGATGACAACAAACTAGGGGGATTATATGTGGCTAAGATAAAATTTGCAGAAGTGGTAAGAAAGCAACAGAAGGAATTCCACTCAAGTACAGAGTAATTTTCTTACAAAGAAACAAATGCACAGAACTAAGACTAATTGTGTGTAATCTAGTATCTAAACTTTAAAATGTGAAGAAGCAAAACTAAGCATTCTGTACAAGTAGAAATGTATCTAGGAATGAGATAATCCTACTATCGAACCCAAATATAAGAGACTTTACATAATCCTTATTTTCACAAGCTAAGAGGATATGGAAAATTAGCAAAGAATACAAATGAAGTCATTAAATGATTATATAATTAGACACTAAGAACCAAAAGAGCAAATGAAACTGAGTAATTTAGCCTGTTGCAGAAAAGGCTGACAGATAATTGCACTTTCCAAATTTTAAAAATATCAAAAAGACAAGTAACCCAGTAAAGGTTCTTCTAAAAAAGTATGGTTTTGGACAGCAAGATGAAAAATTTATTAGCTATAAGGAACAACTTCCTTATAGATGAAGGGCATGAAACAATTTGCTATGGTAATGCATTTATACATATTTAAACACAGATTCCTAATGATCTGAAAGTTAATTTTATTAGATGTCCTAGAATTCCTATCAGTTCTAAAATTTAATTTAAAATATCATAAATTACAAAAAATCAACCCATAAATTATTTCAACATACAACTCTGAACTGCAATCTTTAAAAAAAAAAAATAACCGAGAGCTGGCTATAATATTATACAGGGAAATAAAAATTTAAACAAAATGATCTAAGAATAGTTTGATCTATATTCTAAACAACTTGATCAAAGTATAAGACTAAACAAAGTGATGTTTTTAAAATTTAAAGACGGAAAGTATAATTTAAAGGTGGAACAAAGGAGACGGGAATCTAACCCCTGACTAGGAAGTCTAGCTTATCTATTAAATATACTTAAGAACACCCATTCTTATTTCTACAGAAACCCAAACCTTTCAGGTGACCGTGATCTTGTTCGTCTTTTTTTGCGATCACCAGGTGAAGAAGATCTAGAACGACTTCTCTTTCTGTTCCTCTCAGGAGAAGATGATGAACTTGAATAAGATCTTTTTCGTGGGGAAGAAGAGCCCCTGTGGGACCTGGAGCTGGATCTTCATTGGTTGAGAAACAAATCAAACATTTCATTAAAAGAAGAAATGAAGAAGATTGTTCAGTTTCCAAAAATAAACAGGATTTATAACAACTATGAAAATTTTATATGAAAGAATACTTACTGCTTACTCAACAGAAGACTTCTGGATGAATATGAAAATACTCTATTTAAATATTAGTTATTTTAATTTCATCTCTCTTTAAAAGCCCACATACTCATTATTTGTAATTAAAACCAGCATTATAGTATTAATAAAGAATTTAACTTTTTTCTACATAAGATTTTTAATTTAAAACATATAAATAGTAAATTTAGCAGATAACTGCAACTGTGTGACATGTTTAGAAATTACACTCTTCCATGCGGGGAGAGAGTATGTATGCTAAGTACAAATTCCCAAGGAAAACAAACAAAACAATTCTTTATGGAATTAAGCAACTCATAAGTTAAGCTGCTATATGAGAAATATGGTACAGAAACAAGAACGAACAGTAATTGTAGTAAACTGCTAAAAATCCAAATAAAAATGAGTAACTTTAAAACTTGATTTACATTTATAATATATATTTATGAAAGTACCACTATTCATGAAATATGAAGTGTTGACATTCACATGTTTCAGGCAGAAGTAAATGTACAATATTTAAGTGCAAAACTTTTTTCTTCATTTACATAGTTTGAAGGAATTTAGCTCAAACTTCCCAAAAAATTCACCTTTGGGCTTAAAATAAAACCAGAAAGCCCAAAAGGAGAATTCTTTGGAAAGTTACGAGCAAAGAATAATGTTTAAATAGAATATAAAGGCTGTTCTATAAATCTTATAGTGTTTCCCAAAGGGAATATCAAAATTTACAGATATTCATTTAAGTACTAAAATAAAGGACTAGAATACTAATACATAATAAGAAAATGCATTTACTTTTTTTTGGGGGGGGGGGTGCTCAATACAAGTGTGCATGTTATTCTTTTCTCTTTAACGATTAACTTCATTTGAACTACAAGATCTGACTCAAACTAACACCAATTAATTATGTTTACCAAAATAGCCATTATTAAACTTCAGTGGGATTTCAGCAGTTTTCTTATTTACCTTAAATGCCTTTAGTAAAAACAAAGGTAGTGTATTTTATCCAGTACAGAAAAACCTTTCAAGAGAGCTCCTACAGACTGCTCTCTCTACAGGTTTGACCAAATGCAACTTGAAAGTTCATAGCAATGCTTACTTAAGACTTCATCCTGCCTAAACTAACTAATCATACTACCTGAGTTAGTTTTAAGACAGGTGTCTGTTCTAACAATACTGTTTATAATACTATTTAAAATTAGAAATAAAAAAAATGTACACAGTACTCTGTAGAAACTTTATCTGACAAATGGCAAAGCTTTTTCTATAAATATTTGCCTTGCAAAACAAATCCTGTTTTGAGACAAGATTATTTTTCTTCCTTTTAATAACAAACTTTTCTTTTGCGTATTAATTTTATTTGAACACTACTGCAAAGGAAATCAAATACTAGTAGTGGTGTGATGATAAGATTTGACTTCATCTTCCTACTTTATTAAATCTTAGGACAAAAATAACAAACTCTGCAATAATGGGAAACAGCCACCTTAATTCAATCATGGGAATGTCTTGGCACACGGCTGGCAATGGAAACATTTCATGGTAAGAAAATTAAGCCAAGGCAAGCGCATTAGTTTCTAATGCTAAAATAAAATTAACAAGTAGAAGCAAAATAAGAGAGAAAAGCAGCAACACCTTCTGCAGCCTTTAAATATTTTTCTCTCTGTTGTACAGAGAGATGCTACCTCATTCACCTTGATTTCGACCCACGAGATCTCGAACGTTCTCTGGAACTGGAACGAGATCTTGACTGCGAACTGGAAGAACTTCTTGAACGGGACCTGGAACAACATGGAAGCATTTTTTTTTTTCCAGGACCACTTAATTGATCTCTGTGATATGAACACTGAAAGAAAGACATACATTAGAGTTCATTTTCATATAAAACATAAATATATGAAATTAAGATTTCCAAAATTTTTGGTTTTAATAAAAAATATTACTTAAAAAATTAACTATCACTTTTCAAACCTGATAAAACTGCACTAAAACCACTAGGTTGTAAACACAGAGCACCACCATATTACTAGAAAAACGACAAATACTTTTATGCTCACAAATAATTTATTAGAAGCCACCCAGGACTAATATATACAGGAAAATAGAATGTTACAATATGTATTTAATTTCGAGAATGTTCCTACCACTATTATTTATGAAACTCCTATTTCTTTGTAGCCTAGCTAGCATGAAGCTTTAAATGTTGGAATATACATATTTTGATTCCTGTTTTTCTACTTACTCCGTTTAGAGAATTAAAAGAAAAATTCATAACAATCCTGCCATTGTTATTTACAATACTGAAAAATGACACAAAAGAAAATATGGTACATCTGAATTCTTAAAGTTGTAAATAATAGACTACTATATTTTATTTCAAAATTACTTTATAATCACTTATTTTATGCTACTAAGCTTTATAGTATTAAATAAATAGGTAACTATTAAGAACTTGTTAGCTAATACTTCATTCCTAAATACGATTAAAATTCATTGTCCACAGTATTACTTAACTGTGAATAGAATTTTTTTCAAAAGAATGCTGTTTATTTAAGGCACTTCTTTTTCTCAGCCAAAGTTTTATTTTTATTGCGAACTTAATTACAGAATATGCATTTTACACTACCAAACAAAAGAATATTTAAGTACAACACCAACTGAATCCTCTACTTTATTCCTGGACAACCAAGTGATAAACACTAAGTCACTGAACTAATACGGCGGATCTTGTTCTTTATGCAGAATACTGATATCAAAAGATTACCAAAAATTGTGTAACTATGATTTCAATGCTCAGAATACTCTCTATACTAACCTTTAATATCCTGAAATAATAACCCTTCACTGAACCTAAACATTTCTAAATGTAAGCTATTTAGATATTTAAATATCACTGTATGTCATAATTTAGTTGAATTTTTAAGTTTATTTTAAAAAGTCAGAATGCTAAAACATTAAAGGTTTCATATTAAAGATTTCGCATTTCTTAAAACAGTAGACAGTATGCATCTACATGGCACCAGGGTAAAAAGTGTTTTAAAAGGTGACTTGAACGATCTTTTAAATAAAAAGCTTATTTAATTAAAAAGAAATTGAAATTTATAAATAAAGAAGTTAGATACTGACATTTTGACTGGTGTTACCCTTGACCTGTACCCGTTTACCTGGACCTAGACCTTGAACTTGAGGGGGAGGATGAGCGTGATGAAGATCGTGAATGTGAAGATCGAGACTTTGAGCGACTTCGTCTATTAGATTTCTTTTTATTACTATCTTCTTCTTCACTGGCATCAAGATTATATTTTGAGAGATCAGCATCATCTTCATCCTCATCCTAACAAAAATTCATTTATATTTAGACATTTAGATATTAATGCTACCTACTAGGAAAAATGAATAGGTTCACATCCTGGACATCTGCATATGGATATAAGCACTTGAATCTCAAAGTAAATTCATTCTCAAATTCTGAAATATACCTATTCTATTTCTCATTCAGCTAATCAGATAGATAGGCTAGATAGGTGTAAACCTGGAAGTTATACTCGTTTCCTCTTTTTCTATCACAATATATTACCATGTTAGTTATGAAAAACATTCAATTCTACTTCATAAACAGAAGTCCCAGAGTCTAGTACCCTTAGTCTTTAGGTCAGAACTTAGATCCTTTTTTCTCTAGAATATCACAGTAACTCTCAGCTAGTCTAATTCTTGAAGTACATTTTGGTACTTCAATATCTCAATATATTAACACTTCTCATCCTGAAGAACAGGTCAGATAAACACAACTCATTTGTTTCTGGAACACTTGCATTCTAGGACCTCTTATGATCAGCCTTCAAAGTACCCCGAATCTGGACCAAACAGCCAAACTAAAACTTACCATCTGGCCCCACAGAATATCAGAATGAAGCAGGTGCTGTCTTCATCATTCTTTCTATTCTAAGAACAGTGGTCTACATATGAATTTTTAATGTCTGGTTTGTTTTCTACTCAACAGAAACTATCTGCTGTTCTGAATCTGCTCTCATCCCACCTCTTTTTACTGGCTCCCTCATATCATTTAAGTCTCAGCTCAAATTTTACCTTCTCATAAATCACCCCTGAAACCAAAGTAGTCTTCTTAATGTGATCGTATCATGTGTCTTCATAGCTTTATTAGTATCTTGGTCATTTACATCTGCTCTTCTCTAGAATTTAATAAGAGAGGGGTGGTTCTTTCTTGGTCACTATTTTATCTTAAAAAACAAAAACTGTGTGGCAGAGTAGAAACTAAAACCTTTATGAGACTATATCTTTGTCAAGGCCCCAAGATTGTCAAAATGCATTCCTGTTTATGTAATAGTTCAAATAAGACAAATGGAAAATAGGACATGGAAATTATTTACCTCATCTAATTTATATTTAGAAAGATCTTCATCCTCATCCTCTTCTTCTCCCTCTGATTCTTTATCTTCGACTTCCTTTAATATAGAGGCAGGACCAACTGCCTTTCCTCTGTATTTTTTCTTTTTACGTCCAAACTAGAGAAAAACAGTTTCAAAATATTTCAGTGCACTGAAAGTGCATTAATGTTTTTTTTAAAAATTATCTTTATATATATATAATATTTATATCTTATAATTTCTTTATTTTTATATATGACAGAATGAGTTATAATTCACATTACACATATAGAACACAACTTTTCATACCTCTGGATGTATACAAAGTATATATTCACTCCAATTCATGTACTTTGGATAATGATACCCATCACATTCCACCATCACCGTAAGCCCTGCCCCCCCTCCCACCCCTTCCACCCCTCTGTCCTATCTAGAGTTTGTCTATTCCTCCCATGCTTCCCCTTCCAAACCCATTACCAATCAGCATACTTCTATCAGAGAAAACATTTGGCATTTGTTTTTTGTGGATTGGCAAAAAAATCCATTTACCTGCAAATGCCATGATTTTATTCTCTTTTATTGCTGAATAATGTTCCATTGTGTATATATGCCACTTTTTTTTTTAATCTATTCATCTACTGAAGGGCATCTAGGTTGGTTCCAGTTTAGCTATTGTGAACTGTGCTGCTATAAACATTGATATGGCTGTGTCCCTGTAGTATGCTGTTTTTAAGTCCTTTGGGTATAGACCAAGGAGAGGGATAGCTGGGTCAAATGGTGGTTACAATCCCAGTTCCAAGGAATCATCATACTGCTTTCCATATTGGCTGCACCAATCTGCAGTCCCACCAGCCATGTGTGAGTATGCCTTTTCCCCCACATCCTCACCAACACATAAATTGCTGGAAAAGACTCAACTTGTATTTAAAAACATTCTCCTGAAGACAACATATTTTCCTAATTTGTATTTAAACCACACAACCATATCCAGCTTACTTCATCATATTCTCCATCAGATTCTTCTCTTTCTATATATTCAACATTTTCTCTTTCATTAAAACCACCACCGTATCCTAAAAAAGAGAGCACATAAACTGTTGACAATTCAAGTAACAAAAACATACCCATATCACTTCCAAACAGGAAAAAGAAATTCCAATCAATGGCAGTTGCCTATCCATATAAATTATTAGTCTTTTAAAAGCAAGTTAAGAATAACCACAAAGAACAGTCTCAAAGTTAGATATAACTCAGTTTAAAGTCAAACTGCTATATTTCCGTTTCAATAAGAATCAAGGACTTAATATCACTGTCTATCAGTTCCACAAAGCTTAAATCTTTTGATACTGCTGAGCTAAAATGTAGTGATCCACTAACTAGAGCTTGGAAAATTCCTAATTTATACAGGCAAATACAATAAAATGATAAAGGTCACCCTATGGCTTTGGTTTAATTTTTGTCTACATAATTCTTTTTAGTTCACAATTAAAAGTTATTCAGGTTTCTGAAATAACTAGTAAAGCTTCAAATTAAATCTATTTTATTATAAAGTAATTAAGATTAGCAAACCCCTATTTTGATATTCAACTAATGCTTACAACTTGGCACATTTTGACATAAGCTTAAAACAAACTAGAGTAAGAAATGAGCTACTTTTAGAAAAAGTGAGATAAGAAATTTTGAATAAGTCTTCCCTCATGACAAAGAGGTAATGAAGAATAACACAATCTAACTTGTTAGGTATTTCAGAACAATACCAGTACACAAGGCCAATGATTCTCAGATTTACGAACTTCATGAGCCCACAAAGATGACTTTAAATTTATCAGTTGTGGCCATTAAAGAAAAAAAGACACTTCCAAGTTTTACTTTCTGAAAGAAAATAACATCAATACAGCGTCTCTTTTTTTCATTATACTTTATATCAATAAAAAGTTAGGAAAGATGAAACTCTTCTTAAAAACCACATGATCTAGATAGGCAAAAATTTATAGAAGAAAAATAGAGCAACTGAACAAGTTTGATATTACAATATAATTGTCATCAGTGCAAATAAGTCCTTGTTCAAATGGACAGGATAATTCATATATGGAAGCATGTAAAAATATTAAAAACAATCCTATTTAAAACCAAGGAGTTAGGCTTTTAGTGGAGTTCTCTGTTCACCTTTAGTATTATAAAAGTGAAAATTTGGCAAATATGTAGAAAGCTGAAGATTAAATTACAGTAAGATTAATTTAACTCATGTAGGTAATTTTGTTTTACAATGAATATCACAGCAAATACCATGCTATCTTCTCATTCTCTCATACAAGTCTCAGAAAAAGAAACTAGTCTGTTGACAACATAGATAAGATATATTGTTTTAATTGTATGAAAAATCTGACTCATAAACTCTTTCCTGCACAAGGGAAACACAGTAGCTCCATATCATAAAAACACTTGGGCATGTCATTTTTATCAAGTAATAGATGAGTTGGAAAAATGTCATGTCATTTATGCCCAGTAATAGGTGAGCTGGAAAAATGGTGACATACTTTCTTTCATTTTGTTGATTTAGTACTCTACAGGTAATATATTCAAAAACTCTTGCTTCTTCTTCTTCTTCTTCTTCTTTTTTTTTTTTTTTGTGCTGCTGGGGATTGAACCCAGGGCCTTATGATGGCAAGGGAAGCACTCTACCAACTGAGCTATATCTCGAGCCCTCACTTCTGGTTCTTGACACTTTCCCAGTGCAATTCTCTCTCCACAAATCAGTAACAACACTGAAATTCGGTAACCCTTTCAGTCCCTTATTTAAATATCCTTTAGATACTTCCTATGAGGAATGAAATATAAACTCTTTACTATGACTTACATAGTCTTGCTGATTTCTAAAATGTTTCCTGAAGCTAACAAGGAGCTAATCCAATATGCTCAATTCACTCAAGCTCACAAAACCTATTCTTATTTGAGTAAATTCTCCTCACATCCTTATTTGAATAACTCATTTTTACTTCTTAAACACAACTTTCTCAAGAGGACTTTTAATCTTTGGCACAAATGTCTATTTTGCTCAACAGGTGATCACAGTACACTGCACAGTGGTTTATGAATATTTTTTCAATGAACAAAGATAAATACTGTTATCATCTAAAAACTTTTAGTTTCTTTAGAAGGCTTTAAAATACAAAGGCAGCCATTTTTTTTTCATTTCTTTATAAGATTTTATAATATCAGAGCTTAGATAAAATAAGTAATCATAAATGAAAGCTTAAGCTGGGCATCGTGGTGCACTCCTGTAATCCCAGGAGTGCTGAAGCAGGAGGACTGCAAGCAACCAAGATCCTAAGCAACTCAGTGAGTCCCTGTTTCTAAACAAAATACAAAATAGGCCTGGGGATGTAGCTAGGTGGTCAAGTGCCCCTGAGTACAATACCCTGTCCAAAAAAAGGCAGGCTCACAGTACAAGTCTTAGAGAAAAGAGGATGAATATAACATATACTTCACAAAGATTATTCTAACAATTTTTTGTGATTCTATTCTCTGAACAGTTAATTTAGCACCTCAGAAGTTAAAAAAACAATTGTAAAGAATATAAATTTCAGTGTATTAACATTATTTTTATACAGTTATCATTAATAGTTCAATTTTTAAAAAAGTGGACAAAAATCTACATAATGGTAAATTCTAAAACAAGAGATTAATTACTGTACAATAATATGATGGAATTATGCTTAAGACAGTAACTTTCAGAGGTAGTGTAACATCTTTTTGCTTGTTTGTTTTTAATTCACATCCTGTTCCAATGCTCTCTTATCTTGAAATGACAGTTTCATTTCAAATAAGCTAAGAGGAATTGAAGAGCAAGAAAATGAGCTATTTTGCATATTCAACTGTTGCCAGCAAAAACAAGAGAAATGGAAATGGTTTACGATATCAGAATGATGAAAAAGCTGAGAAAGGAAGGAAAATAAGAAGGTATAAAACACAAACTACAGATTTTTCTACAATAAAATTTGAAAGAAGCCATGATATAGATAGATCAAAATGTATATAGAGACTACTAAGTGGCTATTTTTCCATGACAAGACATAATGGTATTTCTGCTAACAGTAGTAATATAAAATGCTTTTTTCTTTTTCTTTTTAAAAGGTAGAGGGGTGAGATGAAGAAGCTATCTAGGGTACAGAGAACATTTAGGGTTCTGGCTTATGTAACAATTATGGTGGGTGGAACAAATCATGAGAAAGAAACCACTGGAAGAGGACCAGGTCCTCTTCACATTCAATTAGGATATCATAAACCTAATATCTATATGGCAATGCTGTATGAGCAGCTGAATACATTGGTCAAAGAAGTTTGAGTTGGAGACATAAATTTGGGTACCATGGTGTGCCAATTGTTACTTAAAACTTGGGAATGTGAAGAAAAATTACTAGAAAACAGAAAAGGCCTAGAGAATGGACCTTTAAGAATCCCAACATGCACTGGAAAGGCAGAAGACAGAAGAACCAGAGATGCTAAGGAGAAAAACTAACTTTGATAGGCAAGAGAAGGAAAAAAAAGGGAAGTCTTATGAGTTTAATCTACCTAATCATCACAAAATCCATGTGCTGAGTAAGATGTAAAAACTGAAGGTGGAAAATGAAGAAATATATAGGATCATTAGGTCATAATGTTCTCAGATGTGAAAATATAAACTTGAAAAAAGGGCAGGGGAATAAAAGAAAAATGTTTGCTCTAATAGGTCTAAAAGATTCATCACCTTGATCCTCAGAAATTGAGACTGTGAAGGTGGTCCAAAATAAGAGAGAAAAACAGGCAAGTAATTTATTAACTCAAAAATCTGAGAGATTATATGTAGAAGCTCTTGACTATGTGATACATAAGTAGTTGAGTGATAAAATCAGAAGTATACAGACAGTGTGTTTGGGGGAGTTGCTAATAATGGGAAAACTAAATTGTGTGATAAAGTTTCACTATGACACTGCAACAGAGCCAATGGTAAATTATTATGTTAGCCAAGGATTACCAAACACCATCCAAACAACCTGTGGTCTTCTGAGATCCACCCCTGAAGAATTATGAGCATTTTGACAGTTCTACACTATGGAAAGTGTATTCTTGAGTTCAAGAATTATTACCTACGTTTGGAGGAAAACCTTCTCCTTTTTGTATGTACTACAAAATTACATGAATAGGAGACAATACTGTTATAATTACCAATTTACAAACATCTGAATCAGTGAGGGAAAATGTAGAAAAACATTTCTAGAACTATACTAATGACCCCTCTTGTTGGGATAGGACTCCCTACCACTATATTTTTTAATAAACTGTGAAATTATGAAACAAAAAAAATTTTCTGTAAGGGAAAACAAAAAATCCCAGTTAAAAAAAACCACTAGGGCAAAAGAGACAGAACCCTCAATTATTACTGTAATCTTTCAAAAAGGTGATATACTGGTCAATTCAACTTTTAGCTTCTTTAGAAATCATTTGGTACAGTTGTATCTTACCTGTTCTTTCTTCTAATTTAGCATACTTCGGAGTATTACACATGTTACACTCTGATCTTCTGGCCCAATTTACATTACTGCAACTACAGAAATAAAAAAAAAATTTAAATCAGAAGGTCATGTTACAAGGTTAGAAAAATATTAGCATTCTACAACGTTAAAAGAAAAACTAAGATGAAATCACTAGCATAAAGCAATGTTTACTAAAAATGTAAATAAAAATTTACATAGCATGAAGAAAAACTAGTTGTGAAATGACAAAGTGTCAACGACAGAGAATCTGCAGCCCTGGGTTGGGTGCTATCAATTTGAATTAAAGGCTCTACTAATTTTTTAGTCTGTGAATTCATCTCAAAGATGATTAGGGGCGTACTCTTGGATGTTAATTTGTTGATATTCCCCTTCCACCTCTACTAATCTGTTTAAACACTGAACTCCATAACCTACCAAATCCAGTAACTTAATCTGCTATAGGAAAATTTCTTAATACAAATTTAAATTTTACAGGATCAGAAATTTATGTGAGCCAGGCATGGTGGCATATGCCTATAATCCTAGCAGCTTGGAGGCTGAGGCAGCAGAATTGTAAGTTCAAAGTCAACCTCAGCAACTTAGGAAGGTACTAAGCAACACAGTGAGACCCCGTCTCAAAACTTAAAAAAAAAAAGGGGGGGGGGGGGGCTGGGGATATGGCTCAGTGGTTAAGTGCCCCTGAGTTCATTCCTGGTATTTCTCTGAGACCCTTTACTGATTCACTCTTCTTCCATATACCTAGGATTTATCTGCACAGCAAAAAAAGATGGAAGCCAGGAAAATCAATACAGAATTAAATTTAAACTAACAATAGAATCCTTCCTAATTAAAAACAATTTTTTTGATGGAAGACAACTTCTGATTCTAAAATTACTTTGTTAAATAGTCAAAATGAATTTTGTGATGCATTTCCCGTTAATGATAGAAAACTAAAACATTTTGAATTTTTTCTCAATAATAAACATTTATTTACTGGTATATATAATCCATTATAGTAATAACTATTTTTAAATATTACATTTTAAAAATGCAAAAAAATTTAAAAATTTCTTTTATTATACAAGATGAAATGATTAACAGCCAAAAGACCTCCAATTTAAAAGGATACACTGACTTGTTAATGTGATTAATAAGTTTGTAATATTAACAAGGGAGTGACTGGATGCATTAATGGCAGGAAGAGTGAACCATAATTTGAAACACATACGTTTTACACTGCCAGTCATTAGCACTAAATAGGCCTCGGCTCTTTTCTGCAAGTGTTTTTCCTATTTCAGTACCCCCAGCCTTCATCATTTTTGCTTCAGTTGTTTTCTCTGAAAATAGAAAAATAACGCAATATTAATCTGGGGAAGATACAGAAACGATCTGTACATATAATGTTAATAGAATCTTCTTTAAATACTTACCCCGACCACATCGATTACAGCTGGTTCTTCTAGCAAAGTTTACATTTCCACATCTGAAAATAAAAAGCATTTACAGAAATCATTTAAGTCATGTGAATGTTTAAGGTGTCCTCACGACATTATCCAGAAGTTGTGGATTTCAGAATTCGCATCTGTCATGTCAATAACATTAATTATAATAAAATCACAATTTAGCTGTAGAAAAAGTGACTTGGGAGTCACAAAAACAGGATAACAAAACCCAGTTATGTGACCTTGGTTAAATCACTTGGGATTTCTGCCCTGGCATTTTTGTATTAGCATACACCATTACAATGAAAGCCCATTGCAAAGCTTAAGTGAGATTTTTATTCTGCTTCAGTAATTACTGAGAAGACATCAGGGAGATTTAAACAAAAACACCAAAGTACAATCTTAGTACAGGAAACAATAAGATATTTACAATGTTGCAAAAAGTTTTACAAGAAATACAAAATCCAATGGGAAAAAAAAAACGATAAGGGAGGGGTGTTTTTAAACACTGTAAAAGTTTCCTGTATTTATACATACTGTAGAATAGTCTCTTTTTATAAATATATTTTAATGCACAGAAGTATGCATTTCACTCTTAAAAGTCCTACCTCAAATATCTGAGGGTGTTGTCATTTCACAGGTGACCAACACCACAATGGTCAAAATTTGTTATTCTATATGTTTTGAAGTTTTCTACAATGTCTTACCACACATAACAACTCCATTCCTAACATAATTTTTCTGTTCTACTTGATATCAGAGTTAGACTTCAGTCTCTTCAGATCTTAACACTGAACCACTATTAATGGCTGCCAATTAAGGAGTATATGCTGAATTTCATTTTCTACATCCACTACCAAGTTATTCCATCTATTCACTACAAGGAAGCAATTCTACTCCAGTTTTTTGGATGGTCTAAAACGAAACTAGAATTAAACACTGGTTTGTCCAACAGATTTTGCTCTTCACTATCATGAACTATCCAAGGCTAACTTAGTAACTGGAAAAAATTCAAGATTTTTATTTAAACATGAAATGTGCATTAAATATTTTTGAAGTCTCCAAGTAGAAACATCTATTTGTGTGCCTACAATAAGATCCGCCTAAAAACAATTCAATAGATCACATTGGGTTTAGCAACAATGTCAAAAAGCAGAGTCACTAAAACACGTGGTCAGGCGTCTTTCAGGGCTGATGCAGGCAAAAATACAGGCCTTTCGACTCGAAAAACACAAAAAACTGAATTCTTGCATAAAATTAAAGACAACTGAAGAGAAAAGATGATAATTTCCCAAACCAAAGAAATCGAGTCGAGAAAACGGTATAAAGGAAAATGTACGATTAAAAATACAGAAAAGAAGAAGCAAACGACGAGAGCAAGAAAGCGACGTTTTCGGCAAACAAGAATAAAGTTCTGCACGGAAAAGTCACGTGGGGGAGATCCAACACCGAGCTGGCCACGACCGGGGAAATTTCCTTATCTCTGAAACCTGGCCGGGGAGGGGGTGGGGTACAGAGACGAAAGGGTAAGTGATCTCGCAATGCAAAGGGACCACCTTGGAAAGATAATGTCGAAGAAACGCTGGTGACAAACCCAAAACAAAAGGTCCCCGAAAGACATTCCTCAGAAAGGGACTGGGAGCCTCCTTTCCGCCTGGGAGCCGGCAATTCGCCGCCTTAACCCGGCTTAAGGAGCGGGAGGAACTCGTGGAACAGCAATTGCCGAATCGACCTGAAAAAAGCGTTCACTGATAAGTACGGCCCCAATTCGGGTCCCTTCATGAACTCACTTTTTGTCGGGGCAAATCCAGTCCCCGTCACTGACTCGGAAATTCTTGGTCGACATCTTGGACGCCACCACCACAGCCACCCGCAGCTACGTCTTCACAGGAGGAAGCGGGCCAGGGACTTTCGGCATCTCGGGGCTGTCCCCACGGCGCCGGACTCCGGCCCTCCACTGCGTTAGGATTTGCTGATGAGGGTACTCAGCCGAGATTGAGTTTGAACGATATTATACAGATCAAAATGCCTGTGCAATTGTTTCCTGGCTGAAAAGTTAAAACGCAAAGAGCTTTTCTAGAGCTAAATTTACAGGCACCGTTGGGACAGCCCAGGCAGGAGGCCTTCGTGGCACTAGAAGCTTCGGAGAGCCCCCTACAGGCGGGAGGACCCAGAAGAAAGGAACTTCCGCCTAGGTGGGCGGAGCTATGGGAAGCGGAGACGGAAGTGATTGTGATCGGTACAGGGGCGTGGAAACGCACATTACCTAGTCTTTGTTTTGGCGTGAGGTGAAGTGGGTTGTTAAAGTTTCTGGAGTTTATTTTAACGAAGGACAGAACCTTTTTTTTTCTTTATGCATGTGGGTTTTCATTTAGAAGCCTACTTTTTGGTTACCTAAGTAGGTTTAGCATAAGCAGTATACACAAGGGAATCAACCAGTAATTTTAGAACTAGGATATTGCCAGATGTTTTTAAATTTACCAGCATCTTTTCTGGTTCCATCGCATTCTCTTTCCAGATAGAACGATATTTTGTATTTTAAGTTTACTCTCTCGCTTTTTAAAAATGAATATATATATATATATATATAATTTAATTTGATAGTGAGCTATGTAATGTTTATTGTTATGTAATTTTATTACATTCAACATTATGTTTATAAATTCATCCTATCTATTCACATAGATAGTTGCTTGTAGTATGTAGTTGTGTAGTTCCTTTATTTCACTTATGTATTATTGCAGTATTACTTTTGGTGACAGCTTATGCCTTTTTCCATGTTCTGTCATTGCAAATACTGGTATGAGCATTCTTAGGCATGGATTCTAGAACTTAAATACAAGAAGGTTTATAGAATATGGCACTTATCTAGAAGAGAAATTAACTAGTTTTTAGCTTTAGTATTTGCTTTAACATCTTTGGTAATTATAACATCTTGGTTGTTTTAGAGTTGTCAGCTGTTATCCCATAAGAGTTGATCACATTTTCCCAATCTTTTTACTTTGGCTTATAGTGGGTTTTATCCTGAACATTTTGAATATTATATTACGTAGTCTTTGGATCCTGTTTAAAGTCTTGGAGAATGCTAATGATTTTTTTGTATTTTGTTTTAGTAGCCAATTCAGTATGGTTCAGATCACAAATTCAATCTCACCCTCTCTGAGTACTGATTTCATGTCATTTGCCTTCTCAAGGGCTTTACTATGCTGCTTTGAGCCTATCCTACACATATTATACTCAGGGATTCTTTTGGTACTTTGACAATAGTTTAAATTACAGTTCTGTTCAAAGATCTTTTGCTATGATATTTTGGTCTGTCTTGCACATGCTCAGTTCAGGTGTGAACGAAGGACTGAACTTTGCATGGGTTCATACATAGAATTAGGGAACCCCGTTCTTTGGCTCTTTCATTGCTCTTATACTCTTGTCTTAAGGACCCCCTTTTCTTGGTCTTCTTGTTAGAAATATGAAGTTTCTCTTGGAATTTTAGCTTCTATCATTATTGATTCTGAGTAGTAGAAGGGAGCCTAGCCAAGCCCATCATGGGATCACAAGGGAGAACAATTGGTGCTTTACAGTATGCCATATTGCTAAGCTATGTAGTTCAGTAAGTTGGGTGGTGGTATGGTTTGGATATGGAGTGTCCCCCAAAAGCTCATGTGTAAGACAATGTAAGAATTTTTAGAGGTGAAATGATTAGAATGTTAGGTTTAACTTAATTAGTGGATTATCCCACTGCTGTGGATTAGCTGGGTGGTAACTGTAGGCAGGCAGGGTGTGGCTGGAGGCAGTAGATCACTGGGGGGGTATGCCTTTGGGATTTATATTTTATTGCTGGTGAGCAGAGCTCTCCATGCTTTCTGGTTACTATATCATGCACTTCTTTCATCTGCCATGCCCTTCTACACTGATGTTCTGCCTCACTTAAACCCCAGAGTAATGGTGTCTGCCATCTGTGGACTGAGACCTCTGAAACAAGAAGCTAAAAATAAACCTTTTCTCCCTTAAGTTGCTCTTATCAGGTCTTTTGGTCATAGCCATGCAAATCTGACTAAAACAGGTACGTTAAATGCATTTTTGACTTATGGTATTTTCAATTTAATGATGTGTTTATACTACAAAATTTTCAACTTATGTTGATTACATACCTCATCATAAGTTTAGCATTTGTACTTTGGAAAATGTTTGTCTAGATCTATTAAGTCTGAACATATGCATAGACTATGACCCTGAAATTCAATTCTAAATGTATTATCTAAGAAATGCACATATATTCATTGAAGATATGTATAATAATGTTCATAGCTGCATTATTTGTTATACTCCCAGCTGGAAGCTTTCCAACTGCTTATCAAATTGTAACCACATTGAACAGCATGAGTGTAATTCACCAATACGTTATTAAATTGAAAACGTCTGACACAAAATGGCACATTGTATACAATTTCACTTGTGTGATGTTTAAAAGCAACAGAATTATTCTGCGATGGTGATTACCCTTAGGAATGGAGAGTAACTGGAAAGGTGATAAGAGGAATAATACAGATGCTAGAGCTAGTAAACAACATGCAGTTTACTGCATCAAAAGTTAACTAGTTAGTAAAACTTTTGGGAGGAGAGTCATTTGTCAACAGAAAAAAACTGTACAATAAGTCAATGATAACATGAACAAAATATAAGAAAATATATATGGAATGATCAGAATAGGTTGTTTGGGTTCAAGAACTGCAACTGATTTTAAAATATTCTTGTAGTACAGAAGAAATCTATTTCAACTATTCTAACTTGAAAGAAGAATCCCTCAAGACTACCCATTCTGTAATTACATGTTTGCCAAACAATCCTCTGACTGATAATTTATCTTCTCTCCTGAGTGTACTTAACTTGCCATGGTGAAATACCCAGAGCAAATTATCCATACAAGTTTTTCTTCTAAATAAGTTCTCTTTATAAATTGATAAGTTTGCATTCTGACGTACATATCACTTTCTTATGGGTCCTCTTAACATGTTGATTCTCAAGAGGTTAATTAGCTCTGATGGAAATGGTAAAGTTGAGTTTCTGAATTCACATAGTCAAGAAACTAGCTCTGAATATTTTATTAGGGTTCTTTATGCTTGCAAATAACAAAAATAAAAATAAAATAACAAACCTGAAAAATGTGTGTGGTGGGGGCAAGAAGTATAAAACAGAAGGTGTTTGATGGAATGCCAGGGCAGGAGTACAATGCAGATTCAGAAAGAAGATAAAAGAAGCCATCCTTCCACACAGTAGCACGCTTTCTTAGTCTCTTGCTGGATATGCTCTATGTAAACATGATTTTCTTTTGTCAGAACAGCTTTCCTTACTCCTTAGTTTACATGACAGAAATAATACCCTTCTGAGACCTAAGCAAGTGGTGCTCTTAACCTGTCCCTAACCCTAGCCATGCTTTGGAGAATTTTCCTCTTAGTGTTTTAAGTCCCCTTGGGTGTCTTGAATGATCCAGAAGCTTGACCGGACCCCAAACCTAGTCTTGTGGGGCCCTGGACAAAGGTAGCTCTGAAATAGTCTATTGCCAAACTGCCAGATCAGCAGAACCTTCTGGTGGACATCTTATGCCTAAAGAGGACCTTACTGGCCTCATTTTCTGTTTCTTCTCTTCATAGTCCTCAGCATGTTGCTCTCTTACTGAGTGTGGGGTTCCATCAGGTGCCCCAGAAGCTCTGGAACTGGCATCTGGACTTTTCCTGGTTGTTGCAACAGAAAGCCAATGTGCCCTTTCAGTGGATATCTTTTCTTGATTATATTTGATATGGCCACGTTCTGCTTCTGTCTTCGGTTGGCCTTAAGCTGTGTACAGTAAGAGATAGACATTGCTTGCCCAAATGAAACCTTTCTTGATCTTCTCAAAGCCCACTGCTGGTAACCAGCAGTGGACGACAGGACTCCAGTCAACATTAAAAGGTTCATATCATAGGGATGCTGTGATTAAGGCCTAGAAGGTTCAAGAGAAGACATGGTTGGGATGTGTTTTTTTGTTTTTTTAATGCCATTAAGTCTGTGAATTAATAGAATTTCAAAAGATGACACTGGGCAAATAACTGTTTATAATTACTTGTGTCTTTTTTGTGTATGTGTGTGGCCATTATCTACAAAACATACTAACAACATTTGAAGGTCATTAGAAACTAGTTTTCATATGCATAATAGATGTCACAATGATATAAGTAATGATATAATTTGAGTTAAATAAATGGCATTAGGGAACTGCAGAGACAAAAAGATCTAAACTGTTTCAATTTTTAAAAGGATACAGAAAGCTATGACATTGTATCTAGTGTATTGCTACTTTTTCCTTGCAGTGGGAGATATAAAATCACCTAGGAATGACGTCTTTGAAAATAAAGAATTCAAAGAGATGGTTCCTCTGGAAACTTTAAATGTTTTTCATATGCACGGATTATACCATAAGTAGCTACATTAATACCTTTTCTTACCCTTCGTCTTACTAATAAATCACTATACTTTACATGGGCCCACAACTTTTATAATTATTTTTATTTTCAAAGTGTTGCTATAGATAGTCCTTCTTTGCCAGATCTCTTTTTCAAATATTCCTCCAGGAGTTTGAATACCATAGGAAAAGCCCTGGATAATTGATATTCTTGCTTAAGTTTCCAAGTTTCTCTTTTCTGTTGAAGAGATTCCCAATGGTTGTTGATTTCTCAAGGAATTGAGAAATCCTTCTTAAATGGGGTGTCCACCTTTTTCCTTTGACTTTCTTTTAAGAACAGCATACTCCTTTATTAGCATGCTTGTAATGTGTGAATATTAACAGACATTCAAGTCTTACACACCCCAAATATACATCTTTGAGCAAATTTTGTCACATGGATTTATTCCTACAATTTAAAATAAATGTGCTCAAAGAAATGACAAATCATTAAAGAGTGTTTGTTTAGTGCATTTTATTATTAGCATTCTT